GGTGCGATTGTATCTTTTCATTTTCAAAAAAAAAAAAAATACGAATTTCAAGTAAAATAAATAACTTTTAAATAGATCACTGACATATAACTTTGTAATTATTACATAATATTGAAATAAACACATTTTAAGTTTTATTATCTCTTATTTACGAATTGTTGGGTAGTTGAAGGGCAAGACCGTTGTGAATTGCTTCGTAACCCTTTCTAAAGATTAATGGTTTGGAAAACTCCAATGAAATATGAACTTTAATATCAAGTGAGTAGTATGAATATGTAGACAATGCTATGGATATTGATCTTGTACCGCTAGACAGCGAGAAATGTCTAACTGCTGTAGAAGATCAGGTAGAGGAATTAACACTACCAGTAAATTAAAAGTTGGCACTTGTATATTATGACCAACGAATGAATAGATGATGATTGTATGATTGGTAATAGGATGTGGTATATATGTTAGGACTATAGTTAGTTTTTCTTTAAATTGTCCATATGCGCTAAATTTGTTTGATCCCCAAAATTCAGTACGGTATGATTGGTTTGACGGGTTGTTGATTAGTAAAATATTTTTTTATAGCAGAGCAAATAAAATTTTTTATCATTCTACTGACCAGTTTACACATTAAAAGTACTCGTATTTACATATGCGCTGATTTTGTTTGAACCCCAAAATCCAGTACGGTATGATCATAACGTTATGAATACTTTATACTAGCAAAACCCATTGGTTTTGAGGTGAGGCCATTGGTTTGACGGGTTGATGGATAGTAAATTAGTTTTTTTAGCGGAGAAAATAATTTTTTAGGGTAATTATCATTCTACCGACCAGTTTACACATTAAAAATACTCGTGTTTAACATCGAGACACAATAAGACATAAGGTTTGAAAAAAGACCCAAAAAACCAAATCGGCTGATATGAACGTCGAGACACAATAAGATATAAGGTTTTAAAAAAAGGTCCAAAAAACCAAATTGGCTGATATGTCTTGTGCTCCTTTAAATTGCGATGCAGAGATGCAGAGACCGACATGCCCATGCTATGAACAATAATCAAAAAATGGAGAAAAAAAAAGTTGAACAATACTTTTTATTATAAGGCACGTGATTTAAAATTGACACTAATTTGTTTCACTTTATCTAATACTAAATCAAGATGAGATTTCAACAGAGTATAAACGTAGATAATAAAAGAGCTGATAGAAAGACTTTGTAAAGAAGTTAAAACTAATTAGGTTAGTAGAAAAATCTTATTAGATAAAAGAAAAATTGCAAATAAAATTGTTTATACGAGAGAATGTTTTTTAACTGCAATCAGATCATAGGTTTACGAATTAACAAAGTAATAAGTATAGAAGGAAATTAAATTATTAGAGAAGAATGATTACACTTATATTTATGAAATTATTTATTTTCATTTCTGATAACTGTTCATGATGTATTTTTTTTATTTTATTACTTTATAGTGGTGTTAATATTAATGAAAATTCCAAGTGGCAGTAATAGTAATAGTTGTCACTTTCAGGGGAGTCAAGTGTCACTCATATATAAAATTTTAGTGATCGACTAAAAAAAAATTTACCCCAATTTACACATTTTCTGTGCAATTATCCCCCCACCAAATTTTAATATTTATTAATATCCATACTTTTGGAAAATTTTTTGGGGCAGTTATAAAAACATCAACGATAATCTTAGCCTAAAGTTTGGAACATTTTCTATTTTTTGATAATAATATCGATGATCTTCACCACAATTACCACTAATTGAATTTTATTGTTTTTTTCTTCTAAACTTCAATTTTATACCTTTTCACCAATTTTTAAGACATTTAAAATAAATTGAAACGATGATCTTGTTTTGAAGTAAAAATGGAATATTGTTTTTGAATAGTTGTAGCTTCACTTAGAGAACCTTTTCGATATAGAAATATATTACGAAAGACTGCTTTGTTACACAGGTTGAATTCTTATTTTTAGATATTAATACATAATACACTCACCTACCATAAATATCTGGCCGCCTATGTCGTGTAATGTCAAATGAAAAAAGTCTTTACTAAAAAAGTAACGTTTTCTTAAAGACAATTTTACTTTACTAAGTAAACTTGTACTTGATATCAATATCTCTCAATTACAATAGCTTCGAAAGGTTTGGTATCAAATAGTCCAAAAAAAGAAATTTTCAATCGAAATTTACATGTGATAAAAGGTCAAATCTCTTTGTTATAATGTATATTGATTGCATCAATGAAACATGCTCAACGTAACGAATTACATATATCTACAATACGGTTTCGGAATAAACTAGTTCGTGAAAAGGGTTTAAAAAGTACCCGACCATCCGTAATTTGGAAACACAGAATACAATTTTAAGCCTTTACGTTTTGTTGTCTATACTTATCAATTTTTAACCATATATAATTCAAAGTATTTTAAGTAAACTTACTTTAATGACTTGATCCATAATTTAACGGAATTTTGAAGTTTTCATAAAATCACGGGATTTTTTATCTAATTTAAAATTTTCATCCTAAATTCATTAATAATGCAAACTCAACGAAACCTTAAGTTTATATGCAAATTAACTTTAAAAAAACATGTTTACTTTAATGCACCAGTCCCAAGGCGTAACATTTCCAATCATCATGCGAACGGATATTTATGGTAGGTGACATTTGATCTGCAATGTCCCCACGATTATAATCAAAATTTTTTTTAGTAAATGTGATTTGGGGCATGCTGCAACAAAACCAGACAAAGTGAACATTGGTATTAGCAGAATTTCAGGGATCAAAATTTAGTCATTTGTAATGTGATTATAATTAACAGTTTTATAGTATCTCATTTTCTATCTTGAGTGATACATAGAACTGACTATACATGTCAAAATTAAAAGTCGTGTGACGCAATTAGTTTGGTGTGAGACGCATTGACGCAGACGCAAGAATCAATTCGTGACGCCAGACTCATGAGTGATATAAACTATCTGAAAGTGATGTTTTCAAATCTTGCAAAAATGATAAAAATTACATTATTTATTTATTTGCAATAATTCTATATATTTTATGGAATTAATTTAAGGTATAAACCTTTTTTTTTGAGTTATCCACGATTTTCTACTTCACAACTTTAAAAGGTTATGGTCTAATTGAAAAACTTTTGTATGTATTATATTCATTATATAAAATATCCATAATTATAAGCAAATTAATATTTTATTATATGGGGGTTCTCTAGCAAAAGGTGCCCTCTGATCAAAATTGAGTTTTTTGCATAATATATATTTATATTACAAGGATTATAACTGGTGAAAAAATCAGATCATGTTTATTTAGTAAAAAAACGAGTGATCAGGCAATAAAGAATTTTTTAAATTAATTAATTTGCACAAAGTCTTGGATTGATCCACAACCCCATTTTTATTAGTTACACCAAGTTTGATAAAAAATAAACGTAAATAATAAATACATGATATTAATATTAATATTAATATTAATCAGGGTTTGGACAGAGAATGTCTTTATATGGATTATCTACATACTGATGAATGTTAGCAAATAAATATTTTTTTCAATCTTCTGATAAAGGAACAACTTCAAGAAAATTTAATTGTGTATCTTAATCAAAATTTGTATTCTTTAAAAGATTATAAAAGCATTCTTCTCCACCAGATTTTTTTGAAAAATAAACTATTCCAATATCATTTGATGAACTGCTAAAGCAAAAATGATGATACTTTGTTATATTTGGTAAAGTTCTAAAATGATCTTTTAACATTGAATTAAAGTCTTTCCATTTCCAACCTAACCCATTATTATATCCAATAGACTTATTATCTATAGATGATTTGTTTATAACCACCTCAACATCATCAACAGTATTTATACAACTGTTCTTGTATGCTTTTTTAATAGATCCAAATTCAGCATCACAAATAAATTTTGCATGCCCAGGTATCATAAAATTTATATAAATATCCTCATACCAACCCAACATTGTTAACCATGACCAAAACCAAAGAGACAAATTGTTTTTATTTTGTCCAGGACAATTAT